ATTATTACATGTATGGATTTCTGCCTTTTGTTTTAGAAAAAGCTGTACGTTTTATATAACGAAAATCTGAAACCTGTTTTGAGCAAATAAAGAACTTTGGAAAAAATCTAAAAATTCCCATACTCTCTTTCTCTCTCTTTCTCTTTTGCTTTCTCTCTCTCTTGCTTTCTCTCTCTCTCTCTTAAATTGTTGCTGCCATCATTAATAACATCTTTACATCCATTATCACTTGTTTTCATTATAATGACGAGACTAGCTGAAACCTGATGGTGCCACAACAGTTCCTGGTCTCTACTCCTCTCTCTCCCCCTCTACTATCTCTCCCCCTATCTCTCTTTTCCTTATCTCCCTTCTATTCTACCCATCTCCCCTTTCCTCCCCATTTTCTCTGCTCACCCAAACCTGTCGCGGCAGATGGCTGCCCACATTGGCCATTTCTCACCAAAGTGCTGCTCATTGTGGGAACTGTTGGGTTTCTCTATAATTTGAAGGTGTCAGCCTTCTATGTAAAGTGCCTTGAGATAATGTGTATTATGATTTGGCGCTTTACAAAAATACTTATAAAATATTTAATTAAATAGTAGGCTAATAGCTAGCAGACCAAAATAACAGTGACCTTACATAATGCAAGGACAAAAGATGTATTCAGTGAAAGCTATGGTTGACGTCAAGTTTCACTCAAATGAAAGGGCATATATAAAGTGTTTTGTGTCAGTGTGTTTCCCCTTTTTTATATATTCACAGACAGTAAAAATATGACTAGGTCTCGGATTCTCCAGTTAGGCTAGTATATAAATACAACACTGAGTTTTACAAACAACAGCTCATTTGTCTCGCTTAAAGGACAAGTATGGAGAAGTGAAACAAATGTGTGTGGTGTCTTCTGCTTTTTATTAACAGCGGTACAGTTTAGCACTGAAAATTTACATAAATCTACTCCGAAAGTGAATTCCCCGTCACGGTAGATTCCATCACATCAGTCATATCATGCATCTGTAAAAAGAATCAGTGCACTGGAACCATGTCAAAAAGTGGTGTTCAAACAACTTTACAACCTGCATGCCAAGCGTATAACATATTCGACTCCCATCATGGTAAAAACAAGCTCACAAGTTCCATTTGAAGGCAGCATATCACTCATCTTTCTAGCTCAGTTCTACAGAGTTCTGTACCATCTGTCAGCTCCATGGTTTTGTTCGATTGTTTCATTTAAGTGTCACCATGCTCATCGATTTTAGCAGCAGACGGTTCAAAAAACAGCTTTCAAAACCAGGGACTATAGTGCACACGAGCTGCCCAGCGCCCAACCTTGGAGACAATTGTCTGTCATCTGATGATGATTAGTCTCTGTGGGCAATGGCCAATATTTTGAAAGTGACACCAGTCTTTCCCCACAACACATAGTGATGGAGTGATTGTAGGTGTTTTAGGTCCAGACATTTTGACTAATCTCTTTTATGCATCATCATATGCAGATAAATGCAGATGAATTAAAAACACAATCGCAGACATATGTCATATGTAGGCCTTTAAGGGACACCCAAAAATTAATATTCAAATTGCTAATTCTGTTTCGCAAGAATTCTATCTACTTATGCCACAAATGTCTGTCTATGTGTGGAACACTTATTGGCTTAATGCTTGGCATATGTATTGTTGATGGCCCGAGAAAGTGCAGTGTCGATTTGGACACACGATATGCTCAATATTAATAGAATTTGAATAAACATGTGAACAGCGCCTTTCAGTCAGTAGACGTATATGCCACTATATATTATGTATATTGTATATTACACTGTATCTGTACAGGAGAATAGTGCCTGTCTAATTCCACAGATACTCCCTTCTCTCTCTAAGCAGTACACAAGGTCAGGTTGTAGATAAAGGACCAACCAACAGTGCATTGTAGTGTCTACGCTTAGAGACTTTCATATCTAACTCAGATGTCCCAGACAGAGAGACACCAACTTCAACTCTCACCAACTTCCACTCTTTTGTGTATTCCACCAGTGTCAATATGTGAGGACACAATGTGGTTTAGGAATGCATATTTAGCAATGGGGTGGCTGTAGCTGAGTGGTAGAGCAGTTGCCCTCCAACCAGAAGGTTGTAAGTTCAATCCCCACTCTTCCCATGCCCATGCATGCCAAAGTATCCTTGGCAAGATGGTGGTCATAGAACAACCAAAAGTGCTTCATAGTGCTGTTAATAGATGCACTGTTTGTGTGGGTGAATGGCCATTTACCATTTACAAATCCTGATTGTTAGGTTGGGAACAAGAGTGCTTTTATTCATTTGAAGTAAGAGCCAATCACATTATGCTCTCTATTTGTCACTTTAATTCATTAAATTACTTTAATAATAAATTCAGCCACTRTGTGGTTAATAATAAACTACTGTGGAATGCAACAAAAAGGTTTAAAAATCAAAAGGTCTGTGAGGTCAGAATGAAAGCATTGACATGTGACATGTAGGCAGTGATACTTCTTACTTCAATTTTAAGGAACTAAGATCAGCTTTCATTAACACAAACACACACTCACACACACATACACCCACACACACACACAACAAGGCCTTCCCATGAWAGAGGTGAATTCCATGACCAAAGGTGARACGTCATGCGGTTCTTTCCAATCGACGCTGCTGCTCTATAAATATGGAAGCTGATGGAGTGGACATCCAAACAGTTGGAACTGTTCATCTGAGACATTCACCCAGTACTACACTGTGAAGGGAACACATACGTTTCAGGAGATGGCTGCTGCTCGTCTATGTCTGTCTGTGTTGGTGCTGATGCTGGCTGCCATTACTGTGAGCGAAGGTAAGAAGGAGCTTAATTGATAACTGTGTTCGATCTGTAAGTGAGCTAGATGTGAATAACTCTAATCTWCTTTCAAATGCTACAACTGCAGTCATGTATGATTCAGTCTGATTCATAATTTGTTGAACTAATGTGTTTGGGAAGTGAATCTGTCACCAGTGATGATGAAAAGTACTATTTTTATAATAGAAATGAAACAGGGAAACAAATAACKTCCTATTAGAAMGAAGTAYATAKAAAAAGCATGCTAGCATAGCTTCTATGTGATCATATTTTGGAGCTTCCTCCAKACTCAACCATGCTCAGCTTCACATGTTAATTTGACAGCTCCCTTGAGGCTCTGGTTGTGAGTTACAGGACATTAAAGCTGCACCAATCAGTATTTGAAAACAAACACTGCATTGAATGTGAAAGAGATCTCTGTAAAGCTGCTTTCAGACATGCACTGAACTCGGGAGATCCTCCAAATGTTTCTCACATGTAACAGACGTAAACAAAAAAAAGAGAACAAATATTTGAAGAGGACAAAGTGGAGCCATACAAGTAGAAGATGAAGATGTCAAGAGATTTTGTGGTGATAATGCCAGTGTTACTGTCCTGTACACAAAATCATATGATCTCCGTAGCAGAATGAAACATCCTGACATTCTATCTGCTGCACCACCCCTCACCTGAATCCTCRGAAACATTTGTTTCTGATGTCTGAGCAGAGAATCTCTCAAGCTAAGCTCTGCTTAGCTCCGTAGCCCATTTTGGCTTTACTGTTCAGAGTCACTCTCAACATTTGCCTCAGCCTCGATTCTAGCAGCAGCAGGCTGCTCTCTTTGAGAAAAGAGATTCAGATAAACTGACTTACTGCCAGGCACCAAACAGCAGACAGGCTAACAGAATAGACTTGCTGTGGACCAAATCAGAGTAGAAACAAGTGTGAATATTGGAKWTAAATGCAAAGATATGACTCCAAATGAATGCTAATGTCACTGTGTGTCTGCTGAATGTGTAAATACGCAACACATTAGCCATGACAACTCATTTTATCTTGTTCTGCTGCTCCTTGGTGGTCAMGTTTTAACACTGCATAAACGAGTTGTATCAGAGATCTGTTCTAAAATAAATATAAAAATGTCAAACAAAATTGCTGTACTTTTCTAAACTGAACAAGCCCTCTTTCATCTACACAGCAGTGTTACATACGTCAGTGAGCTTTTCCATATCACAATGGAACAACTGAGAAGTGGCACACTTTCTCCAGTGATAAAAAAAGTCATTAGGTTTGGTGTCACATAGGAAATCAAAGGGGGAACAAAAGGAGGAACTAACAGTCAATGTATGAGATGTTGTTGGTTGCTGAGTRGTATTTTCATAGATGACTGTTTGTAGGTGTGCGTGGTTRCGGCCCAAAGAAGTGCTGCGTTCGTTTCATCAAGAAACTGCCCGAGGACAAGGTGGTCGGCTACATGAGGACTAGCCAGCGGTGCTCACAACCGGCCATCGTGTAAGGAGAATGAAAAATAGAGCATTAACATTATTGCACCTAAGKATGAATGTACTAAACCTGTTGTTGGTCTGTGTGTGTGTGTGTATCAGGTTGAAGACAGAGGCAGGTCACCAGCTGTGTGCCAGACCTTCAGCCGCATGGGTGAAAGAGACCATCAAGAACCTGAACGCCAAATCCAAGCCAGGAGAGGCGTCCAACCTGTAACCATGGCAACTTCTCTTATCAWAAGAGTCTTCTCTGAACAAGATCTTAATGTGATTTGATGCTACAACAAACTTTTAGATTAAGAGTTGTTTTATACATATATAGTTTGTGGCTATCTCCAACAAAAGTCCTGCAGGGAAACCACCATAAGCTGAACAGCAGCTCTTTGCTACTATATGTCAGCAATATACAAGGATGCGATCCAGTTATGCTATACATAACATTTATATATAACATGTAGAGTTGTCTTTATTCCAACATTGAAATTATCAGTATAGGGGTTTTTTTATATCTGGTTGGAAAAACAATTGACTTTACAAAACATCAGGTATCATTTTTTGGTTAAAGGTCCCGTGTGCAAAATTTAGGTGAGAGGGAACTATTGGGGGAAATTTAATGTAGAATAATTCTTATGATGTTTTCACTAGTTTGTTTCATCAAATTTGTATGAATTGTAGTTTTTTTTACTCCAGAAAAGACCCTTTATATTTAAATACTTTATATTTACATCGAGGGGTTTTTTACATTAGTCCAGACTGGACAAACTAAACAACGTTTGAGTTTTTATGACAACTGAAAGCTACAACAGGTTCTTTTTCATGTTTGGGAGGGGAGGCTGAGYTGAGGGGTGTTCAGCTGCAACATGCAATTTCAACACTGGATATCAACAAATTCTACACACTGTACCTTTAAGACAACACTTAAAGTCTGGCCATAAACACTGTGATGTACTGTTTGAACTATGTCACAAAAAGACCAMTCACTGTGAAAGACCATTGTGTTGCATCTCCKCATGGTGWCATCAGTTGACTAAGCTACGGACTAATGCACTGTTTCTACACTGAATCATTGTGAGCTCTTTGACTTGTTTTATATGAAGTAAGGATGTGTTTTTTTAAGTCATGTTTTTACTCAAGGTACTTTGTAACCCACGTTAAATTATGATATGAATAAGAATAAATAACTTTAAAAG